GGTACTATAAACATAATCACACCCCGCACAATGTTTTTAGGAAACAATTAACACATGCATTAATCACAATTATGGAGCATCTTTACAGATTTGCTTGACAAAACAGCAAATATACATTTTCTGATGTGTACATGTTCTCCGTGATCTTTCAATGCGAAAAATTAAAAAAAGTCGCTCTACTTCCTGAATGGATCTACTTGTTCTATCATTGTCTTAATACAAGTGCGACTTCTTCTCTATAGAACGCCAGCCTACTGCGAATATATTTTTTTGAAGTACGTTGGTCTTTCGGGTTATTACGCCGTGATCTATTTATCTGATCGCTGCAAGTTACAGGAGTACCTGCCTTGTTGTTCTCGGGCTAGACTCTGTAGGGTCGGACAAGCTATTAAAATATGTGAGTCCTCCCATGATTTCGGTTTTTATTGGTCTCCAGTCGCTTTGTAGCATTGGCAGAGACCACTGAAGATGCCGACAGTGAAGAAGTGCGAAACGTTTGGGATGCGACCAGTTGCAGAGGCCACTACCGAACATCTCGGAGGATCACCGATAGAGGTTAGTCTGAGAACAACAAGGGCAGATCGAAGATTCCTATCTAAGACTAAGTAAGTGAAAGGTGACTATGTATTTTTTTTAATTTTATCGTTTATTTACTAACATTTTGGCAGTGGCAAAAATAAAATCCGTTTTATTGCCTTATATATTATTTTTGCATACAGTATATCTAGCTGTCAAATCAAATATTGTTTGAGTTAATTGTCCCAAAGCAATTAACAAAACTAGTAAAGTTTTACGACAAATATTTCATGATGTCGAATCTACTGGTAATCAACCGAGTTTAGTTTCCAGAGACAATTCGATTGTAAGATTCGGTAAATTTGGTAGACTGTTGACCTTTCAATTCCGGAATTAAGCTGTTTTATTAATTATCAGTAATTGAACTTTCAAAGGAAGCTGCTAACAGCAATTTGGTCGGAACTAGGGAGAGGTCTCGAGTTAGACATTGAAATGAACCAATTCAGTGGAATTCCGTTTAAATGGATTTTAGAGGAAAATAAGTGGCCGGCGTTATGTCGCAAAACGCTTCTCTTTCCAAATATAATTGATACAGATCGTTTGATCGAATACATTAACAGGGACGTTAAAGATTTAGGACGGGATGTTAGATTTGACATTCGAAAGGTTAGTAAAATTAAATCAAGGTATGTGTAAACTAATGCAAAAAATTAGAGGGTCAAAAAAATTTCCGAAATTTGTCTGTCATTTTTGACACAGTATTTAGATGAAAAATGGTCGGAGTGGAATTAAAAAAAGCATTTTGAAGCTCTAAGATTCTAGTTTTTCGATCTTTCAGTCGAAATTTTTTAGGAGCTACGGTTATTATGCAAAGATATAGCGCAACAAAAAAATTTTGTAATTCCACGGACTTGGAAAAATGTTTTTCAGCTAAGCCGTTGCATGGACCAGATAGCTTGTTTATTCAGCTTCAATTTCCTTTTTTTTTAATTTCAATACAACCATTTTTTATCGAAATATCGGACTTTTAATGGAAAAGGATCCTTTTGTCTTCAATCATCGATATCTCGGCGACAAATAGTCGTACAGAGAATTGAAGGGCAGTTTCGAAAACTGGAATAAATCTATAACATGCTGAAGCAACTTTTAGGAAACATTTTTTTTTTTTCATTTTTTAGACGAATTTTAAAACAGGAAAAAAGGGTTATTTATGGTTTTTTAGGAAATTGACGTCTAAATTAGAAATATTCATGAAATGACTAGTGTTAAGCATGACTTTTACAGTTCGGTATACCCAGAAGAACCCTGTGAAGTTTCATCTCGATCTAGCGAACCGTTTCTTTGTTTCAAACAGTAAAACTTCTGAAAAAAATTAAATTGTTTTTTGAGCTTAAACACTGCATAATCATGATTAAAATGGAAAAAACATTTTTTTGAGGTTTTTTCACATTTTTAACGCAAATAACGCTCAAATTGATGACAAAAAAAATTTCGAAAAATTTCTCTATACGACCATTTGTCGCCAATCGATGATTGAAGACAAAAGGATCCTTTTCCATTAAAAGTACGATATTTCGATGAAAAATGGTCTGTCAAAAATCACGGAAATATTTCGGAAATTCTTTTGACCCTTTAATTTTTCGCATTAGTTTATTTCTTTTTGTCTCTTTCTGCTTCACGAACCGGAAACAAATTTAATAGAAATATAAGACAAAAATTGTAACCACGAATCCGAATCGCAATAAATAAATACCTTAATTAGCAACACAGTTTGTTTAAGGGGTAACTTAGCACACAGAATCGATGTATTAACTGGGAGCATGTTAATCTCGGTAATAACCAGTTATTCCCCATATTAAGTAAATTCAATTTGAGCATAATAGATATTTCACTAACGATAATGTAAAATAATCTAGTGCGGCGCAGATTTAGCCAATTATGATTCAAGTGTTGCACTTCAAACGATTTAGCACCTTGCCTAACAGCTTGGTTTGTAAGAACAAGAAAACCAAATAGCAGAACAGTTACATCTCAGTAAATGCAACAATCAGCTAAAAATTATAAATTCGTTAGATCTCTTTTCTAATTAATTATTAAAACCTCTGCCCAGAATAGGATCGATAATGGAGTTAAAAGGTTTCAATACATTTTTAAGCTCTAGAGAATATATGTATTCGTAATCCAACGTTTACAGGCTTGAAATATGTTGCATAAGAGTCTAATTTGTCTACTTTTCCTGACATTACCACTTGATTTGTAGTTTGTGACGCAAAAGTGTAACATTGGCAACTTTTACCACTGAAGAATGTTATGACGTAGGTATCTAGGTAACGCAGGATTTGAAATGCACGTCATTTTCATTTCGAGGAGTTGGCAGCAGTGTGCAACTGGTGAAGATTGTGATCCATATCACCATCTCCGACATCGCCCGTCGATTTTATTTTTGCCAAATCCAATAAATCGCCCTGTATGTGTCGTTCCAGACTAATATAACCAGATTAGAATTTCATTTGCCTCTGTTAATATCAAATTATTTGAACGTATGATATGAAGTCCTTCTGTTCGCGTGTTACAATTTAGCCACTATGTACGTACAAATATTAATCACGTACTTGCTAACTGCTAAACTATTCACCAAATGCCAAGATAATAGGAATTACTTCAGCGGCATACTGTAATAGATACCTATGGGATGTTTGCAGGGCTAGCATTAGTACGCAGCTTCGTTAGTTTTTAGTTATTTGGAGGAGGTATAGAAACACTCACTTCGTATGGTCAGATTAGTAACAAAACTGAAAAAAGAACTCACAAACATTCTATTTAAAGTGGAACCACATGCTGCCTCGAAGATAGTAGACAATAAATCTTATAAATAAGTAAAACCACAATTTCTACAAGGTATTAATCTGATTAAAAATTTGTATGGTTAATCTGCATGGAAATTGTGTATATGAAGAGGGAAAGCAAGTGATGCATAACTTCATTTTTGTCAGTTCCCAACTTAGGTGTTTCCTTTCGTGTCGTATGCGTGGAAGTGTTAAAGTGTGTTTATTTTCTCATTTTAGACATTCAAATGCGTTTTTTGAGTTTGAAATCGTATGCGATTGTTGGTGACCAATCTCTTAATAATCAGGGTACTCGTAAACGAGCGATTTTAACAGATCAAACGTTGTATGATAAAAAATGTGTATCATCGAATTCGAGCACGAAACGAGGAATGTCGGTGAGCGATGCCATGTGCAGTTCTTTAGTAAAAGTGTAAAATTAACAGGAGGATAAGGACAGTGAGTCAACTGAAAAATGGCTTGCGTCTTCTTTGCCTCACATCGAACCTAGTGCAGGGATTGTCATGGATAGTGCGCCTTACCATAGTCACCAAATAGAAATTTTTCCAACATCTGCATGGAGGTATTGATGAACATATTGAATATAAAGGCACCATGTTAAAAGTACAATTATTAGTAGTCCAGATCAGTACAAATTGGTGTATTTAGAGCAATACGTACAATATTTCAACAATTGATAGTAGATTTGTCTGTTGTAGCTACTTTTTAGAAGCAAATCAACAAAATTCCAGTAAATACAATTCACATTTTGTTTTGCTTCATTATTATTTGAAAATATCACATCATTATCGGCAAACAGTTTATATTACGCCCTCGTAGCACAATTTAGAGACTTTTCTCTCGAAGTGGCAAGTCAGTTTAAGGTAATAGATTCAGATAAGGTACTTTTGTAAATTAAATCGAGTGGCAGCCGAGAATCACTTACTTTACGAGTTCGCTTTTGTTTCCTTGTTTTTACTGAACATATTGTATTACGAGAGGTGAGATTAAAATTGCAAACAAAAGTTTGTAGTAAATCAAATAATTATACACGAACTGCAAACGTGAGATTTAGTTTTTCTTTTTGTTGCGTCGATTTTATTCCCTCTGCTTCGTGCATTTGTGCCAGGAATATATGCCGCTCTGTGTAGTATACTGGAAAATGATGGAGTAATACATACAATGTCTCTGTTATTAATCGGCGTCGTCGATAAAATACTCACAATATTAGTATTTGTGTTTAAGTAATAATAATAATAATAATCATAGAAGGTGCATATAAGCAAACACGTGATTTTCTATCTAGAAAAATTTTTATTTATTTTTCTTTTCGACTGGTATTTCTACATACATAGAAGGTGTAATTTTAAGTGTTTGTCAGTTTTTTAGGGGTCATTCCTATTTTTATTTATTGTATAAATGAATCATTTTAAAACAAAAATACTCAGAATTTAAAAAAACTTTCGCACCCAGCCACCTACATCGAAGTACTACACATATTTAACGTAAACATTAAGCAATGTAATAAAAATACCCAGGACGGCAGCTGTAAGTGTGGATTTATGTGTGCATTTGGTTTTAATACTGACAAAGTATTTCATACTTATAAGTGCGTCAGAAAAACGTTTAATTATTTATTAATTTGAAAAATTTACTCACTTGCGTAGTCTTGGCTGTAGGTTTTCACTTCAATGTTGCTTTTATCTGTAACAAGAATGGAACGTTAAATGTTAACAGTAAATAAAAGGAATCCGGAATTATTATTTTACTGTAACTACTTTAGAGAAGATTTTTATTTAAATTTAATGCTCCGTAAGCAGAGAAGGAAATATTGCGATACAACATAATATCAAAGGATTACCACACAGAAGAATTCGAATAAGTCTTCCGTTCCGATAAAGAATGAAGTATTTTAAAAGAGACCTCTCCACTGAAGTTTAAAGCGATTCATATGTTTACGTATTTTATTTTCAGCCCTGCTCCTGCTGTGTAAACTTGTAGTTTTTTATAAGCTCGCAACTACACAAAGATGTTGTAAATAACATGAAGTAATCAGGCATATTTTATATCAGGCAAGATTAATTTTTCACGTTCCAACTCTTCTACGGCTTTTTTAGACTTGATAAATTGCCATGTGTTCCAATAACATATTTTAGTTGCGAGGAGAGGACAAAGTTAAAATCGCTTAGAAAATTCAAAGGGTGAAACAAGGAAAATCCCGCAGACTAGTAATTTTCTTGACAGATAACGTGGCAAACTCGCAATTCCTTGGTGCACATACCTAAATAAATGGTCACTTTTTGTGTGGACAGTTGTTCTCAAAATGTACACGCAAAAAAATTCTTGGTTCAAATGTACATTTGATTTTAAGGTGTCGCACGTTTATACAGGGTGGGCCATTGTGAGAGCCATGTGAGAAAATAAAATAACTCCCTTGTTAATCATAATACAGAAAAAAAGTTTATATAAAAGTTGTACAGAATCAAAAAACCTAAAGGGAAAAATTAATTTGAAACCCACAGGGCGATGAGTAAAAACGGGACACGCCATATATTACATTTTTTAAATGGAATACCCTGTTATTTTTAAACAAATGGATTTCTGAGAAAATTCTGTATATGGCAATATAAACAGTTTAATATTTTAGTGCGGGGTTGCCAAGTTATGTAGAAAATTCTTCGAATTTTGGAAAAACATGACCTCAAAGAAGTTGTATTAACTTTCAACTACTAACACTTGGAGCAAAAATATTTGACAGAGTTATAGCCAAATGTTAGGCAAAGACTCCTATATTAGCTAATATCGATATTTTATACAGGGCATTTTTTACAATACGATCATTTTAAGAAAGTTCAAGCTTGATTTTCTAAAATTTTTCAAATGGAACACCCTGTATTTTATAGTTCTATTTTATTCACGTATCAGTCCACTTCAACTTTTATTAAGTATGTTCTACACCTAAAGTTGTTAGTATTTAAGATAGCAACATTTCTGGAAAAACCTAATTTTTTTTAATAGTTTTGGTCGAATGGTTGTATATACTTACTTTAAGAATATATTTGGATATAAATATTTTTCAGTAATAGAAAATATTTTATTTCTAATTCACAACACCTATGATTGTTCGTCAGTTTAACCAACCAGACATTGGGTCTTATTGATGGTCCTCATCATTATGTCGTTAGAACGATCCAGCTGCTTTGGTGTCGTTACTCACAAGGAGATGTGTATACACAGAGCGTAAGTGCTGGCTCCATCTATCGTGCTACTTCCCACCTATGCCATTCTGTGACCTACAATTTTCTTTCAAGAAAATATAAGTTTGATTATAATATGTTACATTTCTCTTGAATAATTCCTACATTAAATTTCACACAAAAAAGGTATACTTCTTTGAAGCCAAAAATATTTCGCAGTAAGAAAACATTTTTGTGGTTAACATTAACTAAATTTGACAAACCCTTACGTTTTTTTTCAAAATAGATATTTTCGATATTGTTTCGATTTTTTTTTTGGTGACTGTATTTTATGTATGGCAAAGCGAGAAATAATTATAAAAGCTGGAATAAAAGTATTACATTTCTATTTCAGAATGCGGCATTATTAAATAAATAATACTGACTGGTTATAGTCGTATTACGTACGGGTTTCATCATAAAAATTTACTTCCCTTCCGAGTATTTCATTTGAGTTCATTAAGTATTTATAATCATTTTTCCATTATATATGACGATATATCAAATTCAGCGTATTGGAAAAATACAATAAAACTCCAATTTTCACTGGACGTTATTAAACTGTCTGATATTGATGTGTGCCACATAGAAAACGTTTTTATAAATAAAAGAGGATTGAAAAAAATGTCGAAAAACGTCGGCTTTTACTTTCACACAGTATGTTTTGAATTAGATGGTAGAGTAGGTTAAATTGTAGCAAAGATGCATAATTTAGTACATAATAATTTCTCGAAATGCAATCGAAAATAATTTGACAATCTATTTGAAGAGTTACGAGAAATTCGTAAAATAATTTTTGGTCCTTTATCTTTATCCTTAACTTACAGAAATCATCTTATTGCAAAAAATGTTACCTATGATTAAAACTTGATTTAATTTACTAGCAAATATGTGTAAATACAGTGTGTCCTAAAAAAGTGTCGGTAATGTTATAGGTCTGACAAACATGGCTCAAAAAAATAGAAAATTATGCAGAAAAGTGACAATTTCTATTTATTAATTGACCTGTTTCAACGATTTTTTTAAATTTCAACTAGAAAAAAAATATGAATTTTGTTCCATCATTTGGGGACACACCGTATACACATATGTCAGGGGTTTCAATATCCATTACTCAGGTAATGCTACAAAAAATATAATCAATCAGAAAAATCCACGTGAACCTCCTTATCTATTATTCACGAATTTGTTGTTCTTTAAGATGATGAAAAAAGTTGAGGGAACAAAATAAAACTTTCATACTTTGTTGATTCAATCGATTGCATCGAGTGGATGGTAACGTCTCAACACAACAACAAGCGTATTTTTTCCGGAGAACGTTAATATAGGCTAAGTGCACTTAGTTGACATTGTCTCTACATGCTCCTATTTCTAGAGGGAGCAATTATTAAATTTCTACCACCCTTAGAATATACACGCTGAAAAAAAATTGTTTAGGCTCATACATAGCAAAAAAAGTCACGTATTAATGGGTATTCCCAAAGGAAGACCTTTATCCTATAATCAAATCGTCTATACATAAGTTTTGTGTGGCGGAAGGGGCGATATATTATTATTTTGCAATTCTTTTTAACTGTAAGTAATATTTATTAAACCTTTATTTGATTTATACATTAAAAATAGTAAACATCTGTTGGAGAACTTTTTTCAAGTAATTTTAATACTAATTATTAATTATTTAATGGTAAGTTTTGATGTTGTTAGTTTATTCACTAAAGTACCGGTAGACAAAACACTATTCGTCCCTATTCGCCCAGGTTTCGATGCGTTCCCGTTAGCTATGCGATCGAACGTCGAGTCTGACTACTTGCAGTTATATAACCAGGGGACAAGTACCTGGCCAGTACGTGTGACATACGATCATAGATAAAATTAAGAAATAGTACTTTAAAATTATAATTTTTGAATAAATCTAAATTGCAAATTGATAAATGTAATCTAATTGTTTAAAAATAAAAAAAGAGTGTTAACTTTAAAAATTTATTGTGGCCGTCCTAATCAACCGATTCCAATTTTTCAAAAACCATTTGAAAGGTTGAGCGGTCTTTTCTAAGTGAAACAATTTTCAAGTATCTAGATGCTTTATTTAAGGCTGTACAACATTTTGAAAATTTTTCAAAATTACTTTCAAAAAATTATTTTACGAAAACTGGAAACGATTTTAATGAAATTTGGTGTGTTGTTTTATTATACTCTACAGTTTTTTTTAACCAAAATTAGAATGACCTCGGATCAATTAAAATATTTTTAAAAAATTATTCAAAAAACTCGATTATTTTGCGTTTTTTTTCAACATTTATTGCTGTTTTGCAATATCAGTAATAAATTTAAACATTTTTAACTTACAGTATATTATGCAAGATTCAATTCTAAAACTTTTTTTCCTTTTCAATATTCTTCCAAAATGCATAGGTTCCAAGATATAAGTAAAAAACTCGGATAAAATAGGTATTTTTAAAAAATTTTTTAAACATTTTTGCAATTTTGAAAATGTTCCGGACCTCGCCCAGATCTAGGGATCCACACTTTTATTATGTGAGTTGTCCTGAAGGTATTCCAACAAGAATTAGCTTGCCCCCTCTTACATCCAAAAATTGGGATATTTCGACAGATCCGCCCTGATCTATAAGTCAAAAGTATTTTCATAAAAAAATAACACCTGATTGGTCCTGTTGGCTCAAGATTTGCTATAATACGTAACTTCAGAACAATATCTACATAGAACTAATTTTTTTTAATGATTTGTTAATACCTTAAATACTTTGTATAATTAGAATGGTTTGTAATTAATTTGTCTGATTGACAAATGAGTTTTTCCGAGTAAGTCAGGTTAATATTTTGTGTTGCACTTACATTGTCGTTGTTCTTTTAGCAGAGAACAAGTTCATATTGTCAATAAAAATTCATCAGGAAACGCACAGAGCCAAATCGAATTATTAAGGCTAGCGTAGCAAGAGAAATTGCCTGCGATTTTTCATTGTAATTCTATTTGAGAGAGCATTCAATAAGCAGGATTGCTTTCTATATTGCCTGTCAGGCCTGAGGTCCTTAAGTCCAAAAGACCTTTCCTAGGCCTATATATGCAACAACATACACACGTATACAGTGTTCTCAGTAATACGTGATATGGGACATCGGGAATATTTTTGTTTTTGTTTAAAACCCGGTTGTATGAACGCCTTTATCAGTGTAATTTTTTTAAAATATATTACTTTTGTATGACTTTGCGACATGTTATTTTAAAGTCATCATATTTTTTTATGTCCATATGGACGCAGTTTGTGTGTCTTTATTGTTAAATTTATGTTTGATTACAAAATAAGGTTAATAAATATCATTTAATTAATTATACACCTAGGTACTTGTGAGAACGTCAGGTCTTTACAATACGGTGAGACTCCAAAATTAAGAAATACAAAATGGCGGATCCAATATGGCGTACGAAAATGCTGAAGATGCTCTGATTGT